CCTCCCTCCTATCAATCCTCTTCCTTCCTTCCTTCCTTCCTTCCTTCCTTCCTTCCTAAAAGCTTTAGTGCAAGGAACAGAGAGACGCCAGGGGAACATCCGTCTCCCAGAACCGTGTAGTCAACACTTTTTTCCCCCAGGTTAGCGACAAAAACGATGGGAGGAGAAGTTAAAACCAACACCATCCATGTCGGACTGAATTCGAACTTTCACGTAGCCTGAGAAAGTAACATCTTTTAAATATTTTTTCAAGGAGTCGCAGAATAAAGGAGACTGATGATAAAACTTGCAAACCGGGGAGAGTTGATTTTTTTTTTAAAAAAAGTCCAATTAGCACACAAGTGGTCGGTCCCCTTTGGATCTCAGGGGGTGAGAGGCTGAAAGGCTCTCTCCGCCCGCCGTGGGTCCCACAAGCCCATCGGCTTCTAAGGAGGCAGGAGTAAAATCCACCCCACCCGAAATCCGTGAGAAGATGCTCTGCAGAAGGGGAGTTTGGACCAGCCGCTTCCTTCAGCCACGGAGGGGGGGAAAAGGACATTCCAGGCATGCATTCCAAGGAGGCCCAGGGATCCAGGGCTCGGGAAACGCCGAGAGATGGCAACAGCCGGAGGCGACCTCCCCGAAAATGGACGAGATGCTATTTAGAAATTACTGGCCATTGCATGTCTCTGCGTGTGTATGTGTCTCCCCGAAAATGGACGAGATGCTATTTAGAAATTACCGGCCATTGCATGTCTCTGCGTGTGTATATGTGCGTGTGTGTGTGAATGAGTGTGTGCGTGTGTTAGAGTGAGTGATCAAAAGAACCCCTGGATGTTGGCTGCACGGAAAGCCGTCTCTCACACACGCACAAAACGCACCTACACAATTTCCTCCCCCCCCTTTCCAAACACGCCACTTCCACGCTGCCAGATGTAGGGCATCTCGGCGCACAGCCGTCATCATCCCACCCCACGCCTGCTGCTGCTACTGCTGCCCCCCCCCCACATGCGCGAGCATGAACACCCTCCGAGGCCAGGGAGGCAAAGTTCTCTAGCCGATCCCATAAAATGCAGCTGGGGGGGCGGCGGGAATCCGATCAGTGGGGCTCCCGGTGGCCCGGCTGCGCTTGATCCATCTTCCGCCACCCAGATCTCGGGACCCGGGAGATCCGTGGTCCTTCCCGCCTTCTTCTTCCTTCCTTCCTTCTGCCCCCCCCCCCGCCCCCCCCCCGCCGCCCCCGCCCCGGGGGGCCCG